CACTAGTGAGGGAAAAACATTCCACTGGAAATTAGCAAAATGCCCGTCATTCATCTCAATCCGTTCAGTAATAAAGCAGTGGCCTGTTTACATGGCTGTATGTTTGGCTCATTGACCGCAACATGTAAGTGAGATATTTAGTATGATTTTCTTCTCGGCGCTCGGTTACACGCATGAGGGAGCTTCTTCATCTAGTCCTGTCAATCACAACTCATGCATATATCACATACATCACTTCTGTGACAATTCTTCTGCAATCTCTTCACCAACTCAGCCTTTAATCACAGTATTTCTGCTAGTAACTTTCAATAATGAAGTAAAATAAAATATTTTATTAATAAATGACAAACGAGTTTGTGTGATTTATATACACTGTAACAAAGTAAAAAAAATTAACTCAGAAATTGCTAGTAAATTTCACAATGATTCACAGAAATGTATGAGGAGTGTTGTTATGCTGGCCTTTTCTCCAGAGTTCTTATAAAAACATCTGAGATGGTTGTGTGGAGCAGTGATGTTTCTTGATTGGTTTAGCTCCTTCTCGACTCGGTTTGGATTCACATTGGTCTGTGTCTGCGTGTGGAGCGACTCGTTAAATCAGTTACAGAACCGACTCATGAGAGAGATATGAATCAGCCGTCCTTCACACAGACATTTGGCTTTATTTTCATGGCAGGCATTGTACCGAGAGCTCCAGGTTTGACTGAGCATGCAGATCTGGAAACAATGCCTGGAACATTTGGTAACTTTGTCCTGTTTCCTGAGAAGATGGAACAAATGACCGGTTCTCTTCCTGAGCTCACTGGCACTCGGGAGTTACAGCTGAAGAGAAAAATGTAATAAGACAAAAACATGAACAGAAGGTTAGCAGAATGCGCAGCCTAAATAACCAGCAAGTCATCAGGATGATAAATTCTACACATTCTTAAACTAAAAGTTTTAAAATCGTTCTAACTTTAAATAAACCCCAATGACAGAGGAACGAGTGGAATATTTTAGATTTCAGGTCTAAGTCCAATCTTTAATTTCGCTCGCTTGTTTGAACTGCTCACAAGAGACGGTTTAGTAGATGTTGGTCTCCTCGAGGTCCGGTGAGAGAGCATCTAAGTGGGTTATTTCAGAGCAATAAGCAACAGCTGTGGAAATACACTCCGGACAGATGATAGATGACAGGTTAAACGCACTTTCACCACCACACTGCTACATTTACTGGGATTTATTTCTGTAAGAAATTATCTACCATTACCATGTGTGCGGAGCAAGAAACCTTTGATGTTAGTCTGGCTCCACAAATTAAAATATAGTTTAAATATGTGTAGAACTGTTGAGTGGTTTTAAATTTCACTGACATATGCCAGCCTCATAAAGCAAAGAAAAATATTAGCATTTTTATAAATCTGCTTTGCATGAGGTTAGAAAGTTAGTTTTGTTGTTTGTATTAGGCAGGGTGTTTTTATGGAGAACATTTAAAGTGCCTGGATTGAAATCCGCTATCAAATAGGAAATGTTTTAGTTTCAGACGTGTTTTTAAATGCTTAGAATCTCTCTCACAATCTAGACCATGTTTCTGCGAAACAAAGGAGAAAACAAAGAATAGACCGTTTGTCATTAATTTAACAAATATATTCATCATATAAATGGTATTTTTGTCCAAATGTACAATATTTTACATTTCAGATCCCTATCGAAGGGAATCGTTTAATCAAGTCAGTGTTTATTTTTGCTATCATTTAAAACACTGACGCGAGTTTGAATCATAAACCTAACCCTACGAATGCAAGTGTGAGATACAGACTGTTTTCACCTGACCTGCCTTTGACCAAATCTGTGTTCATAAGTCTCTGTGACAGTACAGGCCGCGTGCAATGCCACCATTAGAGTAAAGCAGGTCCACTTTTGTCGGAACAGAGTCGCTGAAGATGCAGAGAAAGTCCCATCAGATGCACTCGGTCGATCTTTAAGCTAAATGGTACATGCTGTATCCCATGTGTGTGTAGAGTCCCACCGGAGTCACGCTCAGCGAGTGTCTGTGGAACGGAGGCAATGCCGTGTATGAAGCCGGAGCGGGAGCGCCGAATGGAAATGAAATCCCGAAGGCGGGAGGAAGCATCGGTTTAGAGGCCATCTTTATCTTCTCGAGTTCGGCCTCCTGGAGCCGCTTGGCTTTCGCTCGTCTGTTCTGGAACCAGATCTTCACCTGAGTCTCGGTCAGGCTCAGCGAGCTGGAGAACTCGGCCCGTTCTGCGATGGACAGGTACTGTTTCTGATGGAACTTCCGCTCCAGCGCCAGCAGCTGCGACGTGCTGAACGGGGTCCGAGGCTTCCGGTTGGTTTTGTGTTTTCTCAGAGGACACGCGGGAGGACTGAGACGCCCTGGAGACAACAACAACACCACACTGACCTT